TGGGCAGGGACACCTTCCACTAGCCCAGGTTGCCCAAAGCCCCGTCCAGCCTGGCCTTGAACCCTTCCAGGGAGGGGGCAGCCACAGCTTCTCTGGGCAACCTGTGCCAGGGCCTCACCCCCCTCACAGTCAACAACTTCCTTATATCTAATCTTAATCTTAATCTTCCTTATCTCTAATTTCAATCTACCTTTCTTCAGTTTAAAACCATCACCCCTCACCCTATCCCTACACCCCCTGATCAAGAGTCCCTCCCCCCTTTCCTGTAGCCCCTTTAAGTACTGGGAGGCTGCTTTAAGGTCTCCCCAGACCCTTCTCTTCTCTGGGCTGAACACCCCCAACTCTCTCAGCCTGTCCTCACAGGGGGGTGCTCCAGCCCCCCTGATCATCTTTGTGGCCTCCTCTGGATCCACTCGAGCAGGTCTGTGTCCTTCTGATGATGGTGCCCCCAGAGCTGGACACAGCACTGCAGCGGGGGTCCCACAAGAGCAGAGCAGAGGGGAGAATCTCCTCCCTTGCCCTGCTGCCCACACTTCTCTTGATGCAGCCCAGTCTGAGAGGCACATTTTCCAGAGATCCAGAGTGGGAGCAATTTGGGAGCAACCCTTGTGTTTTTCTATTACAGAAAAGGGACCTTGCAGTTTTATGATTAATCCTATGCTTATTGCAAAGCAAAATGGTAATCTTAAGAATAGTTAAAAAGCGTGGTTGATTTGTAATGGGACAGCATCCAGCCCATGCAATCCTACCTCCCACGCAAGCCTTCTTCCACCACTCAAAGCCAGGGACTGCAAAAGCCTGTAAGCTGCAGGAATGCGTCTTTTGCGTTTTTATCTCAGCTCGCTGCAATGAATGTGGATTCCCATCAATATTAAGTCTTTAAAAAAAATTGGTTAAATCCATCATAAATATTAAACACCAGAGTATACTGGCAAGTTTCCCTGAAAACAAACTTAAAAAAATAATCTCCAAAAAAGATGTCAAGGCCCTTGGGAGAACTGACACTGGCATGTCATCAGATGTCGTCTTATAAGGCTAAATTAAGCATCTGACCAGAGTTTAATTTCTCTAAAAACTCACGCTAATTTAAATTGCTTTAGATTTAATTAAAAATGCTTTTCTGTAGAGATAATAACATAACTCTATTAATTAGTATGAAGTGGCATCTAGAGGGCATATTTAAAAACTAATCTGTAGCATAAATAGAGCTAATTAACAGTCAGAATAATGCTTTATGATTGTCTTTTGTTTATAAATGCTATATCGTTCAATATGCTATTAAATGAAATTGGTAATTAATATATATCAAAGTTACTTTCTAATGTTCTTTTAACAGAAAAGTATTTCTTACACACCATTTTTCAGATGGTCTGAACACACTTCATTTCTGGAGGAAGGGAGGAGGGGGGAAGGAGAGCTGCTGCATGATGCACCACATATGAATTCAATTAGGACCAGCTCATTCATCTCCCATAAAGCAGACCATATGTGTTCATGAGACCCTGGGGGCCATCCAGCGAGGCATCAGCTTGTGTCTACGTGGTGTTTGCCAAAGAGCACTGCTGACCATGGCAATGGTCAGCCCAGGGAAGGTTTGGACTTCACCCCACGCACCCCATGAGCAGCACCATGGTGCCATTCAGTGGGAAGTGAAGTGGAAGACTTTACTTTCAGAATCTAAGCCTTGCAAGACTGGAGTTGTGGTTCTGAGGAATGAGAACAGCTCCAATTTTTGCTGTAGTATCTTTTAAAACACTATGAGGTGTTCAAATAATACAGGAATGAAGCTTATAAAAGAAAAGGGTGCTAACAGTGAGGATGTGCTGGTATCCAATCCCACCACGAGTGGAATAGATAGCTGGGCAGCTGCAGGCAGTGGCAGATGAGCTCGGAAGAAAAAGGGCAGACCACATTTGGTATAAAGCTCAGCTTCTACACCACTTTTTGCAGGCAAACACGAGGTCCTTTCTGAGTCATCTGGACCAATGCAGCTGCTGAGTTCCCAGTTGACTTTGAGCAAGGCAGTGGGAACTCGTGCTAGTGTCTGGAAATGGTGGTGTGGATGTTATCAGAACTGACCAGGGCCAAAGGGCTCAGAGGGCTGCCTTTGCCTTGAAACAGAAGTTACCATTATCCTCCAATACTTCCTCTGTCAACAGGTTTGACTGCATTCACTAAATCAAATAAAATCATTGAAATACTTTAAATTACATCATGCATGAAAAGCAGAGGGGACCAACTCTGTCTTTCTTTGTCCTTTAATGGTTGTAAATCAGAAATAACTCCCCAAAATGCAATTAAAATAAAAAGCACTTTCATTTGGTAATCTGTACTACCCATACTGTGCAATTTTTTGAAGCACTACCAAACGCAGCACATGTCCTTCTTGTATTTGTTTTTAATCCATAATTCTGTGTATTCTTCCCTTTTTTAATGCCTTGCTAATGTTGAAAAATCCTTCAGCTACCCAGAACAGTTGATTTAAAAAAAGGAAACCACCTCTTTTCTCATGACAAGGCTTCAGCATTACTTTGTAGAACAAACTTTCAGAATCAACTTTGAAGAGTGTACAAAGAAAAAAGTAATTATCATTAACAAGATTAAAAGCTAGCCACAAGCCCAGTAACTGCTGCTCTAACCTCTGTGAGATGACTTTCATGCCAGATTGTAGACATACACTTCCTTCTATAACAAGTACGTGTTCAGCAATAACAAGAACAAGTTGAGATTATTTACATAGCGTAGATAGGTGTCAGCAGACACATACCAACAGCACCTGAGATCCTGAACACCAGAAAAATGATCAAAGGAACTTGTCTGTGTACTACAAGTTGGACTAGCCTCAAGTGCAGACAAAAACACTGGAAGAAATATGAACATATGGTATAACACTTCCCAGCATGGCAAACAGCCATGGCAAACTCTTTTGGAGATAAAATTAGATTGGGGAAGAAAAGCTGGAGAAAAACAAAGCCAAGCATGAACTCTGAAAGCATTTCAGCTCAAGGTCATTGAAATACTTGCCATGTAACATCACCAGTGGTATTATTCTACCTTTTCTTTTCCGATAGATCCTCATAAGCCAAATAAACTCCGAGAAACACTCAGTTACAGATAAAAATGAAAGTGCACTAGAGTGGTTAGCAGTATTTTTGATGCTGTTTGTTCTGGAGACCAAAACCTCAAAATAACCATTAAAAATAATTGCTGGTTTCTCCAAAATACGAAGTAAACAAAAAGCAGTATTTTTGTAAATATGTAATCTGAAAAGAAGTACTTGAGACTTGTAAGAAAAACTTTCTGTATTTTTTTGAAGTACCAATGATGTAAGACTCCATTATTTTAAGGTCCCCAAGAAAACACTTAAAAACTGTTGCTTCCTGACTTCATCCACTCTGCACAAAGACTGTACGATTCATTAGCTCTGAAGGGTGCAGTGTGAAGGGAGATTTGCAGTAGAACATCGATTGTGACAAATGTTCCCAAGCTCTGTAACACTGCAATAACTTTGAATGGTCCTTTTCAAAGTTTTAAGCTCAAAAAGATACTGTTAATTCAACATTTATCCCATAAAACTCACCTAACTTCGTACAGCTGGTGGCTGAACTAGTCCAATATGTAACAACAGTGACCTGCAAAGAGCTACAGCTGACCTGTATACAAACTGGAACCATCTAGAATAGCATGGCATCAGGTAATGAAAAATGTTAAGGGTTTGGACACAAAGTCCTAGTCATGATGGTTAAACTCTGAGGTGTTCATTTTAAGCTCCTTTACATGATACATACACTAATAATACACTATGTAATATGTAGAAATAATAGTAATTAAGAAGTCATTCTAAGCTCCTTCTTTGATCTCTCTGTAGGAGCTTACTAGAGAAGTAAGAAACAATTCAGAGTGAACAGATGCACCCAAATCAAACCATTAGAAAACAGGTATCAGCGCATCCATACAAACCAGTGGCTCTGTTATGTGACTAACTGTGAGCAATATTGAGCTACCGGATCTGGTATTACATGAAAACATTCACAAGCAAATCTTAAGAGTAACCAAAGAGCATGGATTGAACTGGAGAGAGCAAGAGAATTCAAGTTCCTAAGAGGTAATTCCCTGTAACTACAAAATACATTTTAAAATTTTACAATTACCGTAACAGTTTCTTTTCTCTAATTAAAAAAAAAAAAAAAAGCAGCCAGACACACAGTAAACAACTCCCATTCCCCAAACCCAAAGTGTATCCCCATTTTTTATTAGGAATTAATGATGTAAAGCTTAGCAGGGAGGACAGCTGGGGAGGCAGATCCTGCACAGGCAAAAGGAGAGCTCAAGCTGCCCTGTCTGTCTCAAAAGGCAGCTGGGAAAGAGGTGGCACTGCTAAGGTTGGCCTCCTCCCGTGCACAGGACACTTAACCCTACTCTACTGCTGACAGCTTGGAGATGCACAACGTGCTCTTGCATGTGGCTAAGGAAAGACAGATAATATAAAGGCCACCAAACTACAGAGATTTAATGTGGGGTCCTAATTCATGTTGACTTTCTCCCAGCAGGTCTCCTCCTTGGTGTCTGTTTTAGGATGAAGGAGGAGCTAGTGAAAGTGCTGCGATCGAAAACATGAAGCCTGAGGTCTCCCTACGACCAGTGACTGCAGTCATGGAAGCTTCCTTAGAGCGATCCCTCACTGTCCTTCACCCCAGACCCAAGAGATAAACTTCTTCAGTTTCCAAAGCTGCTTTTAAAGCTACTTCACTGAGCCAGACAAACCACTTCCAGGGGAGGTTCTTTTCTGGAGGGGAAATAACATATAGTGCAAATTAAGAAACCCCTCAGATAGAAACTCTGGCCATTATCTGCTTGGGGAAGATTCAAAGCAATAAAGACAGCAAAACACTTTATCTCCAACAGAAGCTTTCCGCAAGCATAAAGGAAAGTCAGGCAAAGCTATTGTAAAATTTGAAGAGGCACATATTAAAACAGTGATTTAGTGAATAATCTTTTACCTAAAACTCTCAACCTCTCTGCTCCAACCACCACTTCGTTGTCATCTGCAGAAAACAGCAATTTTCCAGAGAGGGTTTTCACCTCAAATTTTTGGCTGTGTGCTTCCACTGCTTGGGGACCTAGAGGGAAGAAAAGATTTAGCACAACCTTTTAGTCAAAACTCTAAGAAAATCGCATAGTAGCTTCACAAATGTAATAAATCCATCTGCTGAGATTGTCCTAATAGCTCTGCAGATACAACCTGCATCTGACACATCAAACAGGGAGGTCTCTGCTTTTCAGAAGGTGACCTCTTGTTAGAAAAGGGCACTGTTTTATACCCAAATAACCCCTCAATTATTTTTACTTAGGTTTTTGTTAATGCTTATGTATGCCATAAAATCACCGTTAACTTGGCATAGCTGGGAAATTTTTACAAAAAGACAGACACACATGTGACATAGCAATGAATATACCCAGCCATGGTTTGAGAGTATCGGTGCAGCTGTAAGAGGCATCAGGAGTTCCTGAGCCCATTTTGCTTTGACTGATGCTTCAGTGTAAAAGATTCCTGTTAAATATACCTGGATTAAAATATCAGCGTCATGCAGAGTCCAATTTAAAAAAAACCCCAAACTAAACACCACCACCGGAGCAAATGTTTTCTCCTAGACGATTTCAACCACGTGCAGGCCAAGACAATGGCAGAGTCTCTGCCATTATATAAAAACATTTCAGAGTTTTTTGATGAGTAAAACTTTCCTTTGTAGTTCTTATTTCAATTCTGCTGCTTCTCCTGCAGACTGCTGTGCACCGCAGTGCTGGAAAGCCTCTGGCAAGGTGTTTTGTTGTGGAGCCTGATAAACATCAGCTGCCTGAATAGCAATTCTGTGCAGGTCTGTGGCTCAAAGGCTACAAAGAGCAGATCCCTTGGTTACTGGACCTAGGCTGAACTTTGGACAAATCACCATCTAGCAGCACTGCACAACTCAGTACAAGCAACGGCCTCCCTGGAATATGCTATGGTACAAGGCAGGTGATCAGACTCTGCATTAATTGTGGCTATCTTTATGACTGGCTCTCAAAAGACAAGAGAAGTAAGACCCGAAAGCCAGTATTTTCTTATAGGCAGTTTCTAACCCCATCTATACCCACATGCGCCTGCACAGGTCACCTGTACTGGCATCAGGGCACACAAAATCACGTGCATGGTTCTCACTACAGAAAAGTGAGTCTATGCCGAGATCCCTGGAAACACTTAAAAATCTTGTAGCCATTCTGAGAAAATCTAGTACTTTCAGGCTTTAAGTTTCATTTGTATCTTGCTAATTAACTGCCTCCCTACGCATCACTGTAGCACAGACTACGTGGGACCATGTCTTCACTTTGCTCTGAAACCAAAGCTGCTGCCAAATGCAGAAACAAGCTCAGTAACCTGAACATCACACCAGCAGACGTCACTGACAGCGTCCTCCCAAGCTCTTGTGAAACAGAGATGCTTAAGTGAACCAAATACCCTCGAAAATTTATGGAGAACCAACTAACTAAACACATTCATTCTGAATGTGAGAATCAGGGAGCTTAGGGTTGAATTTATTTCCTTCCTCCAGGCAATTTTCACGCGTGCTGCTTAAATCATTGCTTACTGAAGCTGCATATTTAATTATTTAATACTGTGACTAGAGGCCAAGATGTTATATAAGCAAACCAAACAACCCAGTCTCAAGTAGAAACAACATGCTTATGGATTACTGGCTCTGCCACACAGCAATACTTCTCCTGGTCTCTAGATAAATCTCAGTAAATAAATATCTATCCTATGTTTTTTTTATATCTATTATATTACCATATGTAATGCATTAGGCTCTTTCAACCCAAATTACACACACATTCATTCAAAGGCTGCTGCGCACTGGGGATTTATGAAACACCCATTTCCCCAACAAATACACTCATGCTTGGGAGCACGAGAGCATTCTTCATCAGCAGAAGGACACAGAGAGCTCTAAATTGCAAAACATCCCAACCCAGCCACAGTTAATCTGCAGAGTTCCCAAGATCTCAGGAAAGTTAAAAGTGTCTCGGGAAAAGCCTGTGCCTGTTACAACAGAAATGTCAGCCTGCATATGTTCTTCTTGACCCTGGAGTCGTGCAACTAACCTTTCTGTCTCTGGATTGTCTTTCAAATGAAAATGATGGTCTGCTTTGTTATCAGAGAGACCAGCCAGCTGCCTCTTCGGCACGGCTTTCATGTCTCTAGCTTTGTTTCTACAAAGTGGAGCAAAGTTTTCATTTGTACTTCACAAAACACCTGGGCTCCCCTCCTGTGTGCTGTCTAAAGCCAATGCAGCATCCCACAACACACCCGCTTTCATCCCTCCTTAATTCTTCTATACAGCCTTTCCCCCTCCTTACCTGTTACAAGGCGAGTAAGGACTTTAGTCTTCTCATTGAGGATGTTCACTGTCACATTTCTGGCAGACTGGAAGTACAGTGGGTTGCCCTGCAACGAGACCATGAAAGCAGGCACATGAGATGGGGATGGCTGCCAGAGATCAGCCTGCTTGAGACACCTGGAGCTTTGCCTAACGCTGCTGGGCTGCTCTTAATGGCCCAAGGTTGGGCGTGTGGTTGAGGTGCACGCTACTTCAGTTTTTATTGTCCAGGATAAAACCAGACTCCACACCTCTGGCCCAGGTAATGTCCCAGAGACTGACCTTGTTATAGGGATGGTTAGCTTTATTGCCAGTGTAAGTCAACCAACCTGTTGTTTTAACATGTGCAGGTGATATGGGACCTGACCTAAGCTTCCTGAAGGTCGTGGTGTTTTGGGAGGCTGGCTGACAGCAGCAGTGCATTTCTGGGTCAAATCTGCAATATTATGCATAGCTTCAGATGACCCCAATGGGTGACTGTGTCGGCCCACCACACAGCCACACGAACGAGCCATGCCCTGCCCAAAGGCTGTGAACGAGAAAACCTCATTAACATGAAGAAAGTGCCTTTAATCTCAAATCAATTATGAACCATCCTGCATGTACCACCATCACATTCCAGTCTGGAATGCCAGCTTGGGACCAGACCTATCCATTGGGTTTGGAGATACACAAGACATGAAGTCTTCCCCACTTGACCACACAAATTTCTACCCATTTTTTATTTTTATGCTTCAAGTTTACCGCTGAGAGAAGAGATAGAGCAGCTGTTAACACACAGGAGCCACACAGCTACCTGGCAGCATCCATCTCAGGTGAAGCCAAAGAAAACCCACAGAGAAAACCATCTGGTTCTTTCTGGGTGCAGACACATCCAAGACACCCGGGAACTTTTTTCTACAGGCTGCCCCAGTCCACATGGTGGACTCATGGGGCTCTTAGCCACCTATAGCACTAGCACAGGGTGACCCCAACTTAAACCAGCAAAAAATCTAATGTCCAAGATTACTGTCAGTATCTTTTCATAGTGTCTAAAGCAGGCAGCTGATTAAATTCATCAACCGACTAAGGCATAGGATCAGTAGAGGGGATAATATAGCAAGAAAATCAGCAAGAAGTTGAAAATTTTATGTCTACATGCTTCCTCCACCAAAGTCTTTTTCCAGTGTTTCAAAATCAGGATGAGGATAGAGGATCATGTGGGTCAGGCATGTTTCCTTGCCTCCTGAATTTATAAGTAATATAACTGATATTTGTATAGATGCCATTTTTCTGGATCATGACAGAAGGACTAGGTTGTCTGCATATTAAATATAACAGGAGCACAGGAATGCACTCATGGGAGTCCTGTGATGGACTGGAGCTTCAAGGAACACTTCTAGTGATGACTACAGGATTCCCAGCAGTGTTTGCAGAAAACAAACCTCAGAAACTAAAACAAAACCACATGTGACTAAATATTCACAAAAATTACATTTGGTGCCTTAACTACTTGTGCTGCATGCAGTCATGGGATCAGCTCTTCAGCAAAAAAGGGGAAATAGGATTTATTTGATCAATTATAGCTACATTCAGACTATTTACAACTAAAAATAATAAAGAATTTCAATTAATTTCCAGACCTTGGACAAGTTTCAGAAGCTTTTGGTGTCCTCAAACACTAAATGAGGACAAATCATCTTTATATACATACCTCTGTGGTGTGTTTGACAGCTTAAGTAATATAGTATACAAAACTGCAATATGATTAATACGTTAGAAGTAAGGAGCAGTGGTAATGACTGGTAATGATTTTGCTATTTTTTTATTAATTTTTATTTGCCATCTTCTAGAACCTAGAATGAGTGTTGCTTACTATTTTATGGTTAACAGCACAGAAAAAAAGATGGCTTTACTTCAATACCCGCTTGTTCTGGTGTTAATCCTCCACAGCCCTGATCAGGGACCTAATTTGAACACCCCCAGCAGTAGTAGTTTACTGCTACATTTTCATCTCACACTTACAGATGAAGGATATTTTTAAAGGCAGACAGCTACAATCTGCATAATTTATAGTCATAGGTGAGACTATAAACACGCCATATGAAGCACAGAAAGGTCACATTTTTGATTTGCACTATTTGACTTTTGTTTATGGAGTTATGCAAGTAGTTAGAGTGTTTTGAAAAGGCCAGGAAACCCTCTAGTCCAAATTCAGGTAGGAAAAATCATTCAGTCCCCATGGCTTTGAAACTCTGTTACTGATCTGCGTAACAGGAGATTACACTGCAGAAGTACAAGATACGCCAAGTGGATGATATAAAAAGTGGTTAATATAAAAAGAGTCACAGAAAAAGTTGCTCTGAAGAAGTCGTACAAGACAAGCTAAAAGCTGGTATCCACCTACAAAAGACTTAAAATATATAATCAGATCTTGAAACGCTTACCCCAGCACAGTCATCTCATTCACTGATTCAGAGCTCAGATTCATGCACCCTTCAAAAAACTAAATTTCCCTAATGGAAGAGTTATGTTTTTATTGGTCTGCAGGGAAGGAACATTTGAAGCACTTAATGCAATGCCTGCTCTCATTTCCATAATTCTTCTTCCATTAAGAAATGAAAAAGAGCAGAAAAAATTACTCCCTTTTGCTGAAAATTCTGCAGATTTTCTGTCCATCATCTGTTTACAAAGGTATCAACAATGACATCTTTTACACACTGAACATTTAAAAAAATGTTTCGTCTTTTGCAAGCTTGGTGATGATGCCAGCTTCCTTCAATCACACAGGAAAAAAATTAAAGCATTAAAAAATTCTTAAAACAGAAATTATAACTGAAAAGACAGAATATTTCATTTCTCTTACACTTTCATGTTATCATTACCCAAGATGAAGTATTCTGATGCACATGAGCAAGTGGAAACCTAGATTAATATGGCATCATCACCACAATAAAAATAATTATGTAGTGAAGTAATATTCTCATAAACTGTCATAACACTTGATAGACCTAGAGTTAGAATATCAGCATGCAATAAATAAGCATGTCTAATTATAACACTAATATGAGACACACCACATTTCTGAGGTATAATATGCAACAGTTCTGAATCTTTCTGGATAAAAAAAATATTCAATACATAAATATATGTTACTCTTGGGATTGATACAAAGAAAGTGGAAGTGAATGGAAAACTGGATTAAGCATTCTTTTCGGTTTAGAAAAGTAGGGAAAAGAATCTTTGTCTACCTGTCTCTCCAAAAGGTTCAACCCAATTCTTCAGAAAACATTTGAGATAAAATGCGTCTGATACCACTCATCGCACAAACCCCAACATATTTAACTGCCCGCATGCTATATGATGTACTGAAAAATCTCTTTCTCTTCATTTGTTCTTCTTCCTCCCATCACAAACAAGACAACAAGGTTTCCCCACACTTTGCAAGAGCGGATGCTGCTCCCAGCCCATGTGCTGCCATGGACTTGCTCTTCATGCCCAGACTTGGCTGGTATGACTTTAATGTCTTTACAACAACCCTCTATTAACTGTGTTGTGTTAGCAGAGTCCCAGTTCTTACCCATCTTAGCCAGCCCATTGAACTGCACTGAGCTACAGCTTTTGATTTAATTTCCTAAGCAACTCTGCAAATTAAGTCAGTGGTCACCTCCTTCCCGATGCTATTTTATGTTATTGTTTTTTTTCCAGTGGTTCCTTTGATCATTTGGCTGGAGAAACTGAGGTAGAGACATCGATGAGAGTAGGATGCATTTTTTTCCCTTCTGCATGTTTTCCCATTTGCTTCTGATTTGTTTCAAGCATTTTCCTTGCAGGACCCCACCATGCTCTGGGCTGCAGCTCCACGTCTGGGGGCAGATGAGGCTGGGATCTTTAAGGAATCTTAAGGCTCTTTATCTGCTTCCAGCCCACCATGAATATACCATTCACCTCTGCAGGATATTCTACATAGTAAATACATCATTCTGCTTCTTACTCCAGCCCCTCATTAGCAGACCTAAAGGCTTAACAATAATGCAAATATTTGTAGACACACAAAAGAAGTTGGCCACCCTATATATTAAAATGTTAGAGACATGCTGCAGAATAAAGAATATGAAAAGTGCAAAAATGTGTCAAAACAGTATAGCTTGTTTCTTCACTAAGCAGTGAGGTATCCAGTAAAATATAGAAGACTTTGCAAAAGGTATCGACTGATTGTTTGCTAGGTTAAACACATGGCAAAACAAGCCCTAACAGCTCACTAGCTGTCTTTCTTTGGCTCACTTTGGAAGAGATGCTAAAAACTCCTAGATCAGAGACTAAAACAGAAAAAGCACTTTGACTGACAACCTTAATTTGCAGCTGAAGCAAACCTAACCAGTGCTGTCTTTAAGGAAATTCAATACTTTAACAGATGTCCTTAGACTGTTTAAGGGAATTTTATTAAAAATATTTGGAAATCCTTTTAAATTTTAACAGGCAATTTAAAAATAATGCATCACAGTCGCTGTGTTTGTAATTTGGATGGTCAAAAGGAGTAGCTTTGATTTGATCCTGTGGATTCAAAGACTTCACACAGTAAGTGCAAGCAAATCTTGTGGAAATGATGAAAATGGTGAATTTCCTGCAGGCTTGACAAAGTCATGGGAAAAATTAAAATATTAAAGCATAATCGAGGCTGGCAAGGAGCAGTCTAGAGAGAAGCCACCCAGAGCACCATTTTCCTGCTCAGCTGTACCTCTTACTGACATTACAGAAAGCAAACACTGCTGGACTGTCAGAGGGCAAATGCTTGTTTTCTGTAAAGCAAGCAGCCAGCCCACTGTGAGAGCAAAAGCTCTCCTTCAGCTGGCCTACAGCCACAAGCTTCACTTCCCTGCACCCCTGAGTGCTGTTTTAAGGAGCTGCTGATAGAGGGGAATTATTCACGTGGGTTATAACAAACACATTTCTTTCCTGAAGTCCGATCAGTCCTACTATACTAGAAGCTAAATGCGGTAATAGTAATACCAGCAGTGATACTCTCCTGCATTGCGTTTTCCGTTGGTAGGGCCAACCCATAGCTGCACGAGGTAACATTTCACAGTTC